TATAAAATCTGTAAACACAAAAGGAAAAAGACCAAATTGCCCCTTATCAGCATCTCCCCCCATCCGACCAGAAGGAAAACGCAGGCGCGGGCTTTCCCACGGGCGACGGCTGCATCGGGGGCGCATCCGAGGCGGGGTCCGGCGGCGGCGGTTGCGTCAGGGGCGCTTCCAAGGCGGGGTGCAGCGGCGGCGGCGGCGCAAGCGACGACGGACGCGCGGGGCGGAGGCGGCGGACGTGCGCCCCACCGCGCGAAGGACGCGGGGCAGCCTCTCCTGCCGGTGCCCGAGACCGACTGTTGCGTTGCCCCTCACGTAGAGGACGCAGGGTGGCCTCGCCCAGCGGTGGTCCGCCCTGCTCGCACTCCGCCTTGCGCGGTGGAGGTGGGGCGGCCTCGGCCGGCGGCACACCAACTCACTCGCCTGCGCCTATCGCGCCGCCCTTGCCTGGTGTCCGCTGGAGGAGCAGCGGTGGGACAGGAGCAGCAGCCTACTGGAGCCACCGCAGCAGGGCAGGCGCCGGTTCCTCGCTGGAGCTACCGGTGACGGAGGGGCGGCCCTGGGGGCAGGCGTAGCTTCCTGCTGGAGCTACAGTCGGAGGGGCGACCTCTGTAGTTTAGGCTGACCCGTTCGTATTCGTATGAATGCTAGCTACTGCCTACTAGTAGTAGATAATTTATGTAAAGATTAGTTTGATGAATGTGACGATGTCTGTTGCCTGCTGGTTGTGTGGAAATGTGGATTTCAGTAGCAATAACTACATTATCGATTAATTTGTTAGAAGCATCCACACCCCGATTGGCTCCTGATGTAGAGCACATGGTTCATTTTATTTGACGATGAATTAATTTGAAATCATTGCAAATTGTGCCAAATATATTTGATAAAATATAACCATTTTTTGTTAAAATATAATATAAATGTCTTATTCTAAATCAGGGTAAAATCACAAACAACCATAAAATAGGGGCAAAATCACATGGACATAGTTGTCATTTGTATAAAAGTTAATACCGTTAGGTGAGGATGACGGAATAGGGGGCAAAGTGGTGCTTCGTTTTGAAAACGCAAGAGCAAATTCACAAAGTTAAAAAAACAAGGATAAAATCACAATTTCGATACGAAACAAGGATATAAATGTAAGAGCCCCTACCTTTTTCATCTGTCAGCCTATCCTACCGCGCACGTCACTCTCCCTGTCTGCATCTCACCATTATCATTCATACGTTTGTAATTCAAATTCAATATGAGACCAGATTTGTAATCCAAAACCAAAACAACAGGGTGTGTCTAGGCACACCGTGGAGTCAAATTTTAATATGTACTCCCTCCATCCCAAATTGTAAGTCATTCCAAGAATTTTGGAGAGTCAAAGTTTTTCAAGTTTGACCAAATTTATATAACAAAATAATAATATTTATCATACCAAGTAAGTATCATTAGATTCTTCATTAGTTATATTTTCATATTATACCTATTTGATGTCATCAATCTTTGTGTTTCTCTCTATAATTTTAGTCAAACTTGAAAAAGTTTGACTCTTCAAGATTCTTGGAATGACTTACAGTTTGGGATGGAGGGAGTACAACGTATTAAAATATGCATAAATCCCTGAAGTTGTTGAGTGACTGCGCACCACGTTGTATAACTTAATAACGCCTTTTTTCTGCCTTGCGTAATTTTCAACAAAAAATAAACATCGCATTGAGTAGAAACAGACCCAACTGGGCTCACCTGGGCCTGCCCGGCAGGTCCACACGAGACGAGCCCAATTGGTCCAACCAGGCCAGTTCGTCCGCATTCCGGCCGACGCGTGGGGCCCTGTACACGCGTCAGCACGCGTGGATACCACGCAAATATGGGCGGTCCGTTCGCCGACCAGGGTCACTGCCACGCGCTCCTTCTGCTGCTTCTGGACCGTGGCGTGGTGTAGGATTCGGTTCCCACTCCCACGCGCTCGCGACGCGCAAGTCGCAGGCGGCAACCGTGCCCGCATGGCAGCGGGCGCGGCGCCTGCAGGTCAAAGCCTATCCACCCGCGAATAGCTCCTCGCCGGGCCCGCATGTCAGCCTGACTCGCCGCCACGCGTTTGCCCCCACCCGAATCCATCCCTGCCTCCTCGCCGCGTTGCGTTTCGCCTTCGTCTCCTCGGGTATATAGCCGCCAGCCGGGGGAGGGGAACGGCCAAACCAGCACCCGTCGCCCACAGGAACATCGCCGCCCGAGATCTGCTGCTTCTGGGCGCCGGAGTTCGCGTCGTCGTTCGGTATGCCCAACTCTCCTCCCACCTTGTTGTCTCTCTAGTCTCTATATAATACTTGCGCGTAATTCGGTTAGATTTTTTTTTTTGTTACATAAGTTTAGGGATACATGTGGTGTGTGTAGATCGTTGCTTTTTGCTTATCATCATCGTGGTAGAGTTCTGTGGACTGTGTGTGATCTGTCGATCTGAAGTGCGTGGCTGTACTTGTAACTTGTAAGGATCCTCCAAATGAACCCTCTCCTGTTCGATCGAGCTGGAGGTGGAGGGGAAATTTTCGTGCATAGGGGATTTTATATGGATCCAGCAATGATTAGGGTGGAAGAGTTAATAGTAAATTATAATGTTTTTACGGCTGGAATTTGGGCAACAAGTAGATCCTACTTTTGGTGGCGAAAAAAAGGTAACGCTTAGGGTCTGTTCTGCTTGCCAAGACGAGTATAACATGTAATATTCAGTTACCTAAGGCCGGCTGCAGTGATGTGCAGTAGGAAATTGGAATGATACTCGACCACTATTATAGACATGCAATTCCATTTGTAATTCTTTTTATAGGAATCGTTTGGCTTGCGTGTTGCAATTCACAATTAACTATTATGTCTTGTTAGCCCCTGGATCTCTTGGAACGGGTGAGTCGACCACTCACCAGCGTTGCCGACCACGCATTATCGTTGCCGACTACACACTATAGCTAGAGGTAGAAGAAGGGAGGGAGAACATAGCACACACACAACACAAGCACCAGAGTTAGCCGGAGCTCTACAGAGGAGATGGCAAACTAAACTCGCTCTCTTTACTGAGTTGCAGTGGCAAACTGTATATACAACTCTACCCATCTAATCCTAGTAGACAGACATGTCAGGCTGTCATGCTGCTAAAGTGACTAGATGTGACAGCAGGGCTGACTTTGGCGCTTGCCCCTGCTGTAGCTACAGTGCAGCAGGAGAGCCATTCGGCGTCTGCCCCTGCACTGCTACAGTGCAACAGCAGGGAGCCCTTTTCGGCACCGCCTGTCCCTGTCGTGCGTTCACACGAGGGGAGCATCAGATTACTTAATAATTCTTCCCTTAATCTTGCTGCTAACCGTTGAACCCCCTCCATGCGATCATCTTCTTCAGCTCCGTGAGCCGAAGACGACCGAGCGGCTTGGTGAGGATGTCCGTGAGTTGCCGACCAGTTTCGACGAACTCGATGACGATCTGCCCTCCATCGATAGTCCATGAGGAAGTGGAACTTGACGTCGATGTGCTTGCTCCGGTCGTGGAGAACCGGATTCTTCGCGAGGGCGATGGCGGGCTGGTTGTCCACCATCAGTGCTGGTGGATGAGCTTCCACACCGGTGATCTCGTCCAGCAGCCGGCGCAGTCATACAGCTTGGCACGCCGCTGTGGCTGCCGCCACGTACTCTGCTTCGCACATGGATAGCGCGACCACCTTCTGTTTCAGCGACAACCATGAGATTGGAGCTGACCCAAGGAAGACGAGCACGCCAGAGGTCCTCCGCCGTCCGTCGATGTCCCCCGCCATGTCTGCATCGCTAAACACATTGAGCTGCAGCCTACTCCCGCCGGTCTTGGGGAAGATGATCCCCTGATCCACCGTCCCCTTACGTAGCGCAGTAGCCGCTTCACCGCAGCCCAGTGATCTTCCATGAAGCGGCTGACGTGGAGGACGGCAGGGACAGGCTCTGTATGCCTTGGTACCTTCCGCGTAGCCCAGGAGCACCAAATTGTTAAGTAATATGCTACTCCCCTTGTGTGAACGCACGGTAGGGACAGGCGGCACCGAAAAGGGCTCCCTGCTGTTGCACTGTAGCAGCTGCAGGGGCAGGCGCTGAATGGCTCTCCTGCCACACTGTAGCCACAGCAGGGGTAGATGTCAAAGTCAGCCTTGCTGTCACATCTAGTCACTGTAGCAGCATGATAGCCTGACATGCCTCTGTACTAGGATTAGATGGGTAGAGTCATATATATAGTTTGCCACTGCAACTCAGTAAAGAGAGAGAGTTCAGCTTGCCATCCCCTCTGCAGAACTTCGGCCAACGCTGATGCTTGTGCTGTGTGTGTGCTCTGTTCTCTCTCCCTTCTTCTACCTCTAGCCATAGTGTGTGGTCGGCAACGACAGTGCGTGGTCGGCAACGCTGGTGAGTGGTCGACTCACCCGTTCCGAGAGATCCAAGGGCTAACATGTCTTAGACGCATTGTCTTTTTTCTTCCTTTAGCAAGTATACACAGCAAGCTGCTCTGTTTTATTTAGCATTCTTCTGATCCCCCAGTGGAACATCTAATCTTGGATCGCAAGTTGTGTAAGGAGAGAGGAGTAGAACTGTAGAAGCAGTATTCAGAACGAAGCAAACCTTTTTTTTTTCTATGTGTTTGTGTTCATTGAATGCGGTGTATGGATCCCAAATGTTCTTATGGAGAGGAAAGGGCAAACTTCATTAATAAAACTGCCTTCATCTAGAAAAAAAATGTTCTTACAGTATTACTACATCCGTCCTGTTCCAATACGTACCGTTCAATTTCATGAGTACACTGCCACATCCAAACCGAAGCTAGTCTACTTTTGTCCCTGCATCACCTGTTTCATTGCCGTGCACTCTGTTGCTGATATATTGAATTTGCTCACTGCATTCTTCCATCTTGTTTCAGTCTACATTCATCTTGTTTCAAAATACACTTCAGCTGGCTCACAGTTTGATATATACTCTGCATGTTCTTTCTTCAGGTAACTTGGGGAGACAATGGGAGGAGGGAAGGACAAGCATGACGAGAGCGACAAGGGGCTCTTCTCAAACATGATGCATGGTGTTGCCGGTGGCCATGGGTACCCACAGCAGGGATACCCTCCGCAGGGCTACCCGCCACCATCAGGAGCATACCCGCCTCCCCCTGGGGCGTATCCTCCTCCGCCAGGGGCATACCCACCTCCACCTGGGGCATACCCACCACAACATGGGTACCCTCAGCCAGGTGGCTACCCACCGCAAGGTGGATATCCTCCTGCAGGCTACCCCGGCTCATCTCACCAGGGTATGATCTCTTCTTCGTCAGTTCCATACTTAGCTTTAAAGTAGAGTGAGATCATAATGACTAGTAGTAGCTTCGGTACTGACTCAACATTGTATGAATTGCTCTACAACTATATGTTTTACCTCCTAAATCATAGAGCCTCAACCATGACAATAGCTAGCAAAACGTTCCTTCCACAAAAACAAATGGCCACGAGAATAGGTAATAGTTCGTCTAACTCCAACAAATACTTGTGCATTTTCTATTTACAAATAATAATGATATTTAAACAGTTTATATGCTACACTGTGGGGTTTGAGATTGTTTTGGATTGCTTTGTTTTATTGCTTATATATATATATATTTATTTATTTATTTATTGTTCAGATTTAGAGCTGTACTGTTTCATACACTTGCACTAACATTTATATATACAATTTTATTGTTATAATGTTGGAAATTGGTATTTCTATTCTGCTGATCCATTCAAATGTTGAAGCTCGTAGCTAATGTCTCTTGTGATTTCAGGTTATGGAAGCAGCCATGCCGGGAGCCACATGGGGATGGGGACAGTTCTCGCTGGAGGTGCCGCCGCCGCCGCAGCTGCTTACGGAGCAAACAAGCTTTCTCATGGCCAGGGTGGACATGGGGCCTTAGGAGGCTATGGTCATAGTGGACAGGGTGGACATGGGGCCTTAGGAGGCTATGGTCATAGTGGACAGGGTGGACATGGGGCCTTAGGAGGCTATGGTCATGGTGGCTACGGCCATGGCTACGGTGGCCACGGCAAGTTCAAGCACGGACAAGGCCACCACGGCAAGTTCAAGCATGGCAAGCATGGGCACGGCATGTCCGGCGGCAAGTTCAAGAAGTGGAAGTGATGCGCTCTCCATGGTTGATCATAACTGAACTCGTATGCAGGCTTCCAGCACATCTGTTGCCTGGAATGTCCTAGCAGTGTATTTAGCAGGGTGATCGCTTACTCATCCTTCATCTATATGTAGTAATCTAGCTTGTGGCGAGTGACATGATTTCTAATAAGTGACATAATAACCATTTGCTATCTTGCTGGTACGCAGTACTATGTTGATGTTGTGCATGAAGCGCTCTGAGCCTCTGAAGATTATATCCTGTGTGTTGGAATGGTCGTACCCTGCGTTTACCACTTTACCCTGCATGAGTAGGCACTGAATTTTGGTACTTGTTGCTGGTGTTGGAAAAGATGTGTGAATATTATGCTCTGGTAAGATCAACTGTGTCTGTGCTTGCCTGAAATGCTGAAATAGTAGATAATGTATCATGTCGTATGTATGACATGCTATGGCCCTGTTTGGTTTGGAAAAGCTGCTGCGTGGAAAAGAAGCTGAGCAGAATGCCGTTTGGTAGAACAAACGTGGCTTTTGGAAAACACATATAAGCGGATCTCACATGTCATTCACGTCCACCCCATTTAGCTCTCTCCATCTCTCACTGACGAGCGGACATTCTGAATAAGTATATGTATATGTATCATTTATGTTGAATAAGTACATGTATATGTATCATGTATGTATGTCCGGTACTGGAAAATTTTACTTTCGTTCCTCCTCAATTTCTAGTCGATTTATATTACTCAGTTATCGTCAAATCTCATGGGATCTATCTTTTCTTCCCAATTTCTTAGTCGATTAATTACTCAGTTATCGTCAGATCTCGTGGGATCCTGACAATTGAGTTGTCTCTGAATTCTGCTCTTATGAAATCTTGCAGTGGGTATGAGCATAATTTAGAGACAAAACAAAAGCTACATCACATCAAATGCAATTATCAGCAATGAAAGTAGCCATTTTCGATTCGCACACGGACGGGAAGGCATGTTCGGCACACCTACCACTACCAGACACAGGATGCAGGCTTGGTCTGGTGGGTGTCGCGAGCATGGTTGTCAAGAATCTTGATCTGATCCGATGCGATGCGATCTTACCAAGTCAAAACAATATTGATCGTACTATGTATTTCTAATCGAAATCTTATAATTTACAAAGTTTTTGTGTGTTGATTGACGCAGAAACGTGCGGCACAGGGCTTTTAATTTGTGTTGTGTCGTGTGACTGCTTTTTGGTATATATACACATTGTGATATTTTTGTGAGCCAACGAGAGTAGGTTTTGTGAGCCAACAAGGTTTGAACTGCAGGTTCTGCAGCACGAATCCGACGACGGCCGGAGCGAGCTGCAGAAAGGGCGGCCAGCGCGATGGCCGTAACCGTAACGGCGGTGGCGGCCACCAGCGATGCCTTGGTCAGAGCCGATGAAGTCTCCAGCAGAGGCGAGAGTGCTGGAGAAACGTTTTTTCATGCATGGCGCGGGCGTTTTCTTTTCTGTTTATTTTAACCATTTTCAGAATGGGCCGAATGACGGCGTGGACTTTAGCAGTAGGCCCACCATGGCCCAAGCGTCTCTCTCTTTGTTGCTTCTTTAACAGGCCCCACCTAGAGCAGGTACAAGTTTATGTCGAGCCTAACAATGAAACGTACTTGTGGCCCAATTCAAGGATAGTGATGCCATGCATTTTCCGTCGATAATGCTTGGGTCAGGACGTCCGTCCGTCCCGTCCGTCCGGACGCCTTCTTGCTGGGCCTGTGGACAGGCGGCCCAGACAACCGTAGCGGTCCATCCCGTGACTCATGTCCAGACATTTCAACGGCCCGATTCTTCCATTCTGGATTGTTCCACCGCCCCCACACGTCTCTCTCGTTCCCTAGGCCTCTAGGCCTCCACGGCTCCGCCCCCATCTTTGACCCGTGCAACGAGCTCGCGATGGCGCGACACCCTTCTCGCGGCGTCGCTCCGAGCTCGCTCGCCTAGACTCCACCTCGTCACCACCTGCCACCACCGCGGCTTCCCGCGCGGCCTGCTCCCGACCAAGGCACGTGCCTACATGCTCGACGCCGACTCCGGGGACTTCGCCATCGACCTCCGCTCCAGCTGCCGCATCGTGCTACCCGTGGGGAGCTACCTTGCCGCCTTCAGCGACCACCTCACGGGCTCCCTCGACGACCGCCACATCTCGGGCCTCGATGACCGCCGCGTTACTGCCTTCTTCCAATGGTGGTCCATCGTGGGCACCGACGACCTCCTTTCACTCTGTGTCATTCAGCTCCGCGCAAGCGTCGAGCTCCACAACGACGAGCTCCATTCATCCAAGCAGCAAGGTGACATTGCGTTGAAAGCACATGTTGCAAGTGTATGTTTCAAATGCTTCAGTTGTTTCAGAGGTATGTTGCAAGGGTTTCGTATGGATGTTACAAAAGTAGATTGGGATGTTGCATCTTTTACAGTGGTTGTACACCTATGTTGCAAACATTTGTTCCCAATGTTTTATCTCTTTTTCAGACATATGTTTCAAGTATGTTTATCTGAATGTTGCATATGTTTCACATATTTGTTGCAAGTGTTTTATCTGAATGTTACGTATGTATTGCAATGGTTTTCAAGTGTTTTATGTGTTTTTTGCAAGTGTTTCAGACGCATGTTTGAAATGTTTCATGTGTCTTCGTACGTATGTTGCAAGTGTTGTATCTAAATATTTCAAAAGTAGATCGGGTGTTGTATTTCTCTCCTCACCTTCTGCTGCCTTGCCTTGGTGCCTCCTCCTCTTCTCGATGCTGGTGATGTTTGGGTGGCGTGGGCTCGCGTGGGGGCGGGTGGATTGGGTGGGGCACAAGACGTTCGAGTGGCACGAAACCCGAGCGAACAGGGCGTGTGGCACGGAGCAGGGGCGGGGCATGGGGAGCAGCGTCCGTACGTGGCCCTAGAGCCGGACGACCGGGTGCTAGCCTGTCCCATTTCCTTTTTGTTTATTTTGCCTCTCCATAAATGTTACCTTCTTAGTTCAAGTTTGAAATTCAGTCCATCATTACGGTTACATGTAATTAATCATTAAACCTGCAAAGTTATCAGCCAACGCAATTACAATCAGTTATGCGGACATTAGAATATATCCCATCAGCTATGAACTTTTGCAACTATTTACCATCAACTCCTTTGAAATTTAATGGAACCTTTTTATAGTTAAGGAAAAGTCCAAATTAATTTTCTAAGTCTGGACGACGTCTAGATAACTCACTAAGCTAACATTTGATTTGGCTTATTTACTCCCTGAACTGTGTCAGTTGGTCCAATTTACTTTCTAATAAACTTTTTCTTTTGTCTCCATGTTCAAGTTAATTTTTAGTTTCAAATTTGTGAGGTGATCATAACTAACACCTTAACTTATGTTGGAAAAATGCATCATAAATTTTTATCATTACTTTTACAGGTTAGGACACCTAATAACAAATTAACACTAGATATAGAAATTTTACGAAACATAATTATGAAAAAATGTACATTTCAAAATAAGTTGTGATTTCACTATCACTTGTCTAATTACGAAATTAAAAACTCAACTTGTGTATGGCAAAAAAATAACTTTAGCTAATGGATATATGGTATTGTGGACCGACTAAAATAGTTAGCGAAGTAAATGGAACCAAATGTTAGTCTAAGAGGTTATTTGGGCATTGGCCAAATTTGAGGGAGTAATTTGGCCTTTTCTTTTTGAGTAATGTATCTAAGGTTTTCACACTCGACATTGTTGCGCCAGGCTTTCAGCCATTGTGAAAATTTCCCCACTCTTACCTAGCTTTAGCTGGGCCTCGGGGGTATTTTATGAGGCAGGCCTCTATTTTCAGAGGCGGACCTTTTAAGAGGCCCGCTTCCGTAAATCAATTTTGCGAGAAGGGCAATTGTAAACACCTCTATAAATAAAATGACCACCTTGGTAAATAGATTTTGCGAGGCGAATAATTGTAAACGCCTCCGTAAATAAAATGACCCCCTGGGTAAATCGATTTTGCGATCCAATCATTTTTTGGTGCCTCGGTAAATAAATTGACCACCTCCGTTAATCGTTGGACATTTTACGAGGCGGTTGGTTTTTGTGACTGTCTCGGTCAATAAAAGAGTACCGCCTCGCAAAATCATTTTTGTAGTAGTGAACTACTAATCATCGTCTTGGTAAAGCTATTGCCTCACTAACTAGCTAAGCAGACGCGAGCCCCTCCTTGGACGGATTTCTCCTTTTGCTCAGCCTACGGGGTATTAGCAACCATTTTCAGATGTTGTTCCCCTCCCAAGGATAAGTTCTTACACAACTCATCCATTCGTCACTAGAAACACCATATCCCATTCGATTTGCACATGTTAAGCATGCCACCCGCGTTCATTAAATAGAGATACCGAGATTGAAATTTTGAGAGGCTCTTGGAGTAACTCTTAGAGCATCTCCAAGACTTTCAAAAACTCACTCCTAATCTTGATTTTTTTTGCAAGATTGAAAAAAAACCTGCTCTTCAACAACTCTCTATCTCAACTCTCAATCTTTCCGCACCTGGGAAAATTGATCCAATCGCATGGAATATACACCTGTGCGTATCGATCAGCCAACCCAGAAGTGGAAGGACACGGAAAGAATGAGGAGCACGATAGGATTGCCAATGCAAATGTACTATAGAAAAAGTATAAAAGTGGTTGGAGTGATTTAGAAATAATTCGAGATTTGTAATGTAAAATTCTTTTCTGTATTTGAGGAGCAAGATTTTTTAGAATTATTGGAGAAACCCAACAAATATGCTTCTAATATATTTTAGCCACTTGTAAAACTTATTGATTGACCAATTTTTTTGGAACTATTTGAGACGCTCTTAGATGGTTAGCTGAGTGGGTTCTACATGCTATACACACGGGTCTCTAAATAAAGATATAGAGATCGAATTTTTGAGAGGCTCTTGGACAATGAAAAAAATAGTGGGCTATAGCAGCGCTATAGCGGTTGGAGAGACTCGACGCTAAACTATTGC